GAGGCTCTAGAGGCACCAGGGGGAGCTGGAGGCTCTAGAGGCACCAGGGGGCAGCCTGCCAGCTGTGAGAGTGCGGCACTCAGCTGAGAGCTGCTGACTGGGAGGCTGTGCAGAGACGAGGCTGAGCTCCTCCGCGCTCCTCCGACCTCATTCTTCTCTCGCCTCTTGTCTGTCTTCCTGTGCGGTTACTCACTCGCTCTCCTTTGTTCTGTCTCCTGCCCAGCTTCCTGTAAGTGAGGAGAGGTGTGCCTGACAAACACAAGCACAGGCAACCTGTCCTCCTGGTGGTAATGACTTTACCCTGATCTCACTGAGCTGTTACCCTGATATCACTGGGCTTTTACCCTATTACTGGGCTTCACAGCACTGTACTGTGCTTTTACCCTGATCTCACTGGGCTGCACTGCACTGTACTGTGCTTTTACCCCGATCTCACTGGGCTGTACTGCACTGTACTGTGCTTTTACCCTGATCTCACTGGGCTGTACTGCACTGTACTGTGCTTTTACCCTGATCTCACTGGGCTGTACTGCCCTGGACTGTGCTTTTACCCTGATCTCACTGGGCTGTACTGCACTGGACTGTGCTTTTACCCTGATCTCACTGGGCTGCACTGCACTGTACTGTGATTTTACCCTGATCTCACTGGGCTGCACTGCACTGTACTGTGCTCTTACCCTGATCTCACTGGCCTGTACTGTACTGTACTGTGCTGTTACCCTGATCTCACTGGGCTGTACTGCACTGTACTGTGCTGTTACCCTGATCTCACTGGGCTGTACTGCCCTGGACTGTGCTTTTACTACAACAATAACATCAAGCCTGACAAAGGGAGGCGGTGCTCACAGAGAGACTCTGAGACGCACTCAGCCCCCGCGCTCTCTGATGCTCTGTGTGACAGAGAGGACGGAAAGAAACTGTGGGACCGCAAGTAACTGTCACGCTGCCCCCGCCAGGCAGCCAGGACAGACCCTCCGGCTCAGACCGCGCACCAGCATGGAGTTCGACTACCAGCAGATCAAAGGTAGGTGCTTCAAATCGGAATGGGACGATTCCCAGCCCGTGCGTTCCAGGGGAGAGCAGGAATCCTGCTACCCCAGCGATGGCTGAGCCGCGTCCTCTCGCTCGTCAGAGGGTACTGTTGAGCGTTCAGAGGAATTGAAAGCTTGGTTTGCCGATAAAGACCCAGCAGGATCTGGGGGCGGATTGAGCTCCTGAATTAAAAAAAAAAACAGATCCAAGATCCAAACTCGAGCTTAAGCAGTTAAATGTTTTAGCTCTCTGGAAAGGAGATAAGTGTGTGTGTGTGTTTTTTCTTACGATTGTAAATACAACTCTTTTCTTGAAAATGCAGCAGAGTTTTGAAGGGGGAGCAAGAGGGTTGAACAGAATAGCCTGTGGATGAGGGGCACGTCTGTGTGTGAACTGGGAGCAGGAGGAAGGAGCCAGCTGCCCCACTGCTTTGCTGTTCAAAGACAAGAAAAGCCACCCGGCCTGTCTAGCTCACTGGGGGGTTAGTAAGTAATCTTATCCAGCGATTTCCTGAAACAAACCAGGGTATCGGCTCCAGCAACAGGGCTGGGCAGCTTGTTCCACACATCCACCACCCTTACTGTAAAGACGTGCCTCCTGCTATCTGGTTTCAATACCCTTCCCTGTAGTTTCCGCTTGTGACCTCTGGTTGGTGACTCACTGTTGGTTCTGAAGCAGCTCTTTGGTTTGAGTTTTTCGATGACCTGAATCTCGTCTCCTCGTACTTTTCTCTGTTCGGGACTAAAGAGACTCAGTCCCTTCAGCCTGTCGGCGCTGGGCAGGCCTTTGAACCTGAGAAGGTGTCTGGTCATTCCCGAACAGAAATATCTTTCATTTATGTCACCGTTTCGTACACAATATTCTGAATGACGTCTTATTAGCACACTGCAGCATCGTAATACAACATCTCTTGTTTTAAATCCCTCTCTTTAAACTCTATACTGTATTTCAACACATTGTCGTCCCTCCCCAGAGTGTCTAGAAGATGTGAATGATATGCCTGTTTCACAGCAGCCTCTTCAAGCTCAGAGTTTCCTGTGTTGTATGTGCAGCTCATGTTTCTGCTACATGTAACACTCTGCACACGTCTGCATCAGATGTCATCTGCCAGGTGTTCACCGAGGGTGGTTTAGATAAAAGCGTTTGTCCAATTACAACTTATGTTTTGTTAATTAATTGTTTGCATTAAAAATATAACCCTGCACCCACTTTTGTGAATCAGAGTCTGTAAGTGGCTCTATGTTTGGGGTAGGAAACGTGTTAAAATGGAAAAAGAGTGTGTGAAAAATGGATATTGTTACAAACAGTGTGTTACAAAGAATGTGTGAGATTCACTGTGTTAAAACAGAGATGAAGTGCGTTAAAATGAAGATGTTGTGTTAAAGTAGATACAGTGTTTTAAAATGGAGATATTGCGCTCAAACAGAGATAGGGAGTTAAAAATAGAGATAGAGGTGTTAAAAATGGCAGTTAGTGTTAAAACGGAGGTGCTTCTCCAGTTTTCATCTCCGAACAGGCCCCAGAGCAAGGGGCTCGGCTCGGACCACCTTGCTTGGCCCGGGCGCTTGGTCGAAGGCGTCTCTGAACAGCAGCGGGCCTCTCTGTCCGGGCCCGGGGCCGAGCGCCGCCCGTCTCGCGGTTGTTCGTGCTTGTGACCTTTGCTGGGCGAGCGAGCGGTGAGTCAGAGAGGAAGCACAGAGACATGACGTTGACAGACGCTTGGCGAGCCGCGGTCCTGCGCGCGGCCTGACCACCCTCGTTAGCCTAGCTCTCGCACATCCGCATCCAACACGGTTGCAGTGTTCATTAACTGAGCCCTGCATGAACAGCTAGCTTCTGCTTGGCATTTATTTACGTTTACACTTTTCGTCCTGTCCGTAGTAAGTGTCCTAAAGCATTCTGGGATACCGCGCTGTACGAACATGTGTCAGGACAATCCAGCAGTGTATTTGAGGATCGTTGCTATACTGTATATGATTATTAAACTGGTCTTCTGCGGTGTCACACGAGAAAACCCCACTCTGTCCAGCTCATTGGGTTGCTCAGGAGCTAATTGATCCCAGTGTCGCATCCAGAAACATCACTGGGCAACTTGCTCCACACTCCCGCCACCCTCTGTGTAAAGAAATGCCTCCTGCTCTCTCAGTTCTATATGCATTTCTCTGCAGTTTCCACTTGGGTTTCCCCTGGTTCGGAAATCCTGGTTCACTTCAGATCGAGGGCATTCTTGAATCCGATCCGACCCTGAATTTCTCTTTTCAAGGCAAAACTAGGAATGTACCTGGCTACTCGATTTGAGGCCAGGGAGGTACCCAGTCTATCTCTGGGCAGCACGGTGTCTGAGTGGTCAGCAGTGCTGGGGCCCTGGGTTCAGATCTGAACCTGGGCAGCTGTCTGTGTGGAGTTTGTATGTTCTCCCTGTATTCACGCTAGTCTCCTCTGGGTGCTCCAGTTTCCTTCTACAGCCCAAAGGCATACTGGCAGGTTAATTGGCTTCTGGGAACACTGGCCCTGGTGTGTGCATGTCTGCGTGTGCCCTGTCTTGCATCCATTGCATGCTGGGATAGACTCCGGCCACCCCCGGCCCTGTACTGGATAAAGAGGTTGGAAAATGGGTGGATGAATGGAACAAATACAGACTCACACCACACAGATGTGAAGTTCTCATTTAGAAAGTGGCGTCACAAGCCCAGGTTAATGTTGAACGACCTCATATTATACGCGAGTCTGCGAAGCCAGGCAGGAGGGTGGTGATGACGATAATGACGATGTTGATGATGACATTCAGATGCTGAAGCCAGACATCGTGAGGAGTTATTGGGCTCTCTGCCCATCCCCCGCGAGAGGCTGATGCCACGCCCACAGCTCTCCGAGTCCCCGCCCACTCGGGGGCCTCCTCCAATCAAGCCCCGGCGAAGCATCAAGGTCCACCCACGCAGGGAAGGGGTGGGGCCTCCACACCCACCAAGGAAACAGCTGGACAACAGCAGAGATGAGGTGAGAAGCCTTCTAGGAAAAACAGCAGCAGAAAACCTCAACGCCGCAGAGACAGGTCAGCTCACCCTGCCTGTTCATCATGGGGGGGGGGGATAGCGCCCCCTGTCTGCTGTCTCCCTGCCTGCTGGGCCTGATTGAAGCCAGCTCCCTTTCTCCCTCTCCCAGTGTGCCCAGAAAGATGCCCCCGCGCCCCCCTGCTGCCCGGTGTCGCTGGCGCCCCTCTCCCCCTCCCTGCGGGCTCACACCCTGCTGTGGTTCCAGCAGACACAGCTGTCCCGGCTGCAGCGCTCTGATGGCACACTCCCTGACTGGCTCCATGGCTTCGCCACGCGCAGGTGAGCGAGCCCTGTCTGTCTCCCTGTCCCCTGTCTGTCTGTCTGTCTCCCTGTCCCCTGTCTGTCTCCCAGTCCCCTGTCTGTCCCCCATTCTCCTGTCTGTCTGTCTCCCCGTCCCCTATCTCCCAGCCCCTGTCTGTCTTCCAGCCCCTGTCTGTCTCTCTTCCAGTCCCTGCAGTAACAGTGTGTCTCTGCCTAAAGTAACAGTGTGTCTCTGTGTGCAGTAACAGTGTGTGTCTATGAGATTCTCAGGGAGGCAGAGGAGCTGCTGAAAGACCAGGAGTTGGGTTCCTTCCTCCTGAGGCTCAGCGAGTCCAAGGTCGGCTTCGTCCTCTCCTACAGGTCAGTACGTTGCTTCACTGCCCAGTCCACAGTAACCCCAGTCCAAAGTAACCCCAGCCCGGTCCACAGTAACCCCAGTCCACAGTACCCCCAGCCCAGTCCACAGTAACCCCAGTCTGGTCCACAGTAACCCCAGTCCACAGTAACCCCAGAGAGATGTGCCCCTGCCCCCTCTCTCCCTCCAGGGGCACTGACCGCTGTCGGCACTTCATCATCGACGAGGTGGGGGGCGGCCAGTACGTCATCGCTGGGGAGGAGAGCTGCCACAGCAGCCTGCAGGACCTGGTCAGCTACTACAGCCGCCACCCCGTGGGGCCCTTCTCCGAGACCCTGACCGCCCCCTGCAGGAAGGTCAGCGCCCTGCAGTCCCTCGGCCGGCTCACTCCGGCTCACTTCCTTACTCGCACACCTGTAGGACTGCACTGCAGTGACCAGGACATCACCTCTCCGCTTGGCTGGCAGTGTTACAGTCACAGAGCCAATTAAACTATTACTCTGTACTGAGAACACGGGGAAGACACAAGGCGCCCCAGGAATCACGTCTGAGACCCCGGCTTTCAGCTGTTAATCGTTCCGGTCTGGATGGTTTAAACTGATCCAATTAAGCTTTAATTGCACTGATTGATCACTTCTGTGCAGCCTCATGGCTGTGGAGGATTTGAACTGGCAGGACACCCTGTTCTAGACCAGTCCTGCCTCTTCCATTCAATTCCATCGAAGTCAAATTCTCCTACGACTTCATTTCTCCATTAAGAGCTTAATTGGAACTAATGGGTTAATTGCTCAGTTCTGAGACTTGCTGTGAAAACGGCAGCACCAGGCGCCCCAGGACTGGAGCCTGAGTGGGCCGTCTGCCGGACCCGTGTGCCCCCCCATCTCTCAGTCCCTCTGTGTCCTCCCTCAGGCAGGGGGGGGCTGCAGGGAGGCTCTGGACGAGCTGCCCATCCGGGAGAAGCCCAGCGCCCCAGAGGGGCAGGCGGCCGGGGGGGGGCAGCTGCCGCCGCAGGAGACCCCCCCAGAGACCGAGCAGTACGCCGTGGTTAAAAAGCCGCTGAGGAAGAGCAAGTCCCTCAACCTGCCTGACAGCCACGAGCCCCCTCCTCCTGACACAGTGCCCCCTGGTGAGGAGGTGAGAACTGCAAGCAGCACACTGTACTGTGATAGAGAGAGACTGCAGAATTAGGAGACTGTACTGTACTGTGATAGAGAGAGACAGGAGAATTAGGAGACTGTACTGTGATAGAAAGAGACAGGAGAATTAGGAGACTGTACTGTACTGTACTGTGATAGAGAGAGACAGGAGAATTAGGAGACTGTACTGTACTGTGATAGAAAGAGACAGGAGAATTAGGAGACTGTACTGTACTGTGATAGAAAGAGACAGGAGAATTAGGAGACTACTGTACTGTGATAGAGAGAGACTGCAGAATTAGGGAGACTGTACAGTACTGTGATGGAGAGAGACTCAGACAGAAAAGGACATCAGTGTTTCTTTGTCAATCTGCAGGTCCCAGATTTCATTCCTCCTCCTCCCAAAGACCCCTTGGTGCCCCCTGCAGGAGAAGCCCAGGAGAAGCATGAGGATGCCCCCTACGCCCGCGTCAACAAGCCCAGAGCCAGCCCGCAAGCCCCCGCCCCCTCCTCCCCCCCCGCGGCCCAGGCCCCAGCTCAGCCCGTGGCCCCCAGCGCCCCCGTCTCGCTCGGGGGCTCGGAGGGGGGGGAGCAGAAGTACTGGGAACTGGTGCCCATGCACACCTATGAGGAGACGGGCCACCTGACCGAGCCGCGGGACGAGACCAGGCGGGTCTACTCCGAGCCGGACGACCCGATTGCTTTCTACGCCATGGGGAGGAGCGGCCGGGGGGGCACTCAGGCCCAGGGGGCAGGTGAGCGGCAGGGCTGGGGTCAGGGGTCAGGGGTCAAGGGTCAAGGGTCAGGAAGGTTTGGGGACAGCTGGGAGATCACGTCTTCCGCAGGAATGAGCAGATGTTGGAACTGAGCAAGGTGCCTCTGCCCTTTGTAAAGCTTTCACCCTTTGACACAGAAGGGTGAAAGGAGAGTTCAGCTTATTTGTCAGATGCACAAATGCAATGAAATGCTTGAAGTCGAGCCCAGTGAAATTAGGGTAAAAACCGCGAAACTATGTTGCGAAACAAACTATGCAAAAATGACAAAATCACAAATAAAATGACCCGATCACATCGTAATTTAACTGCAGCAATGGTGCGTGTGATGCAGCACAGTGTCAGAGGGTGGAGGGCAGAGGGCAAGGGTATTCTGGGAAGGCAGGTCTTCCAAGCCCAGTCATTCTGCTCTGTGTGTCCTGCCAGCGGATCCTCTGCGCCACCTGTACTCTGAAGTGAACCTGAGAGGCAGCGACCGGCCGGGTGCAGATCACCCGGGATCCACACTGCCGCCCCCGTCCGCCCCACTGATCTCACCCCAGCCCGCGCACAGCCCCCCGGAGCTCCCCCTGCGGCCACCCCCCCGACTGGACTGCATGGCACAGGTGCTCCTACATGCACACGCAGACCCGCACACATGAACTTGATGCTCTCGCCCACACAGACAAGAACACACTGTGGTCTCACACACGCAGACACGCGCACACTGTTCTCTCACACGCAGACTAACCTGATGCTCTCGCACACATGCAGTACTCTCACACACCCAGACTAACCTGATGCTCTCGCACACACGCAGACATTAACCTGATGCTCTCGCACACGCAGACACAAACTCAATGCTGTCGCACACACATACACTGTTCTCGCCCACGCAGACCCACACACACACACAGACATGAACTCTATGCTCTCACACACATTGTGCTCTTACAGTGTAGCCACACACTTCTCTGATTTTCTGTCTCTCAATGGTGAATTAAGGCTCTGAATTAAAACGATTAACACGATGAACCCCCTTTTCCATCTCTTCTCTCCTGTAGCGGCGGAGCGGAACACCTGAGGTGACCTTTAACCCTCGCTCTGGGGTGCCCCTGCCCCTCCGCGGCGACAGGGCACCCCCCCTCGACAGCTCAGCCTCCATCTACGAGCAGATCAGGGACCGGGACGCCCCCCCCAGCAACAGCAGCCGCCCCGCAGCGACAGACACCAGGCGGGGGTCCTGAACTCCGACCCCCAGGGCCACACCCTCCTCAATCAGCCTCATCATCTTCATTAATGTACATGCCTTCAAAGTCTTACACAGCAGTGCGCTCACAAAACTCCATTAAAGGTAGCCAGTTTCACTCTAACTAAAGTACTGGGAGCCTCATTGGAGCTACTGCAGTCATGCACACTGGGAGCTGCGTCAGCATGCCTGGGCTGCAAAGGAACCAGTAAAGGTTTATTCCAGGCTGAGACTGTGGAGCCTTCTTCAGGTGTCTTCGGGCTGGAATAAACCTTGT